TAGACTGACAAACCATTTTCTCAGTTCTGATTCCCAATAGGAAGAAGTTAATATATTCATTGGGATGTATAAAAATACAATTGCATGAGTTATGAGGCATTAGAATTCTAGTTACACTGCAGGGTACTGCATTTCACCGCCTTTCTGTCAGCTGATGTATTAATTCTGAATGCACAATATATAGAATATGCTGATACCATCCCTTATTTCCTGTTCATAAGGTGTTTCCCAACTTTGGGAGAAAAACTACAAAAGAGTCCTTTAACCTAATGTTTCAAGGAGGGTGGGGAAGGGTATAATACAAAAAGTGGGTCATCTTCTAAGATACATTTTGATATAAAGTCCAGAATTTTGCTGAAGTATCCAAGTTTGTAGGCTATAAAGCCATGTCATTATTGCCTAGGAGTGGGCAAAGAGTGATCAATGGGCATTATACAGGCCACCTTGTCACTGTGAGGACCCCAAGGGGAACCAAGGACATCCCTTGACAAAATTAATAAATATATAAATTTCTGGTCTAGTTTGTTTCCTGATTTAAGAAGGCTTCTCCTGGGTCAAAAATAGTCCTAGGGGCAAAACCTAGTTTTAAAAGGGAAAAACTGAGTTAAAATGTTACATACCTCCAGCTGTTCAGATTTGTCAAGGACATTTCCAATTATTCCTCTGTGGCCCCACTTTTTCAGCTATTTTTTAAATGTCCCAGTTTCTCTCTCCTCCTCCTATGTTTCCCCTTTGTCTTCAATTTACGTACTTCAGTTGCTGCAAACTTGAGTTTTCATCTGTTAATGCAGCAGGCAGGGCAAAGAGAGGAAGAGACAGAATCTTATTCTTCCCAGTAGGTCAAAGCAAACTGCTGCACCCTCTCCTAGCTTGCGTGTTTTTTGCAGCTTTTGCCATCTTGACCACACTCTGTTGTTGCTTGGCCATGTCTGTCCCAATTTTCATCCGTGAAATGCTGGAGGGTATGATAATAAAAAGTTCAGAGTAACACCCAGAGTACTGTCCCGCTGAGAAAGGAGATGAGGCCCCATTCACATTACAGAAATAACCCAGTGTGAAACTAGGTTATTTCCACAATGTTCAGTCTGGCCCTGAATACAGCTGGTGTCGTTTGCAGGGGGGGCATGCAGAAAACCCCACTTAACCTGGTGCATTTTACACCAGGTCCCTTACCGCATTTTTTGTGTGCGTGTGTGCTGGAACGATCCGGATCTTCAAAAATGTGAGTATGCTACCAAACTGATCTGGGCCACATGGCAGCAGTTAAGGAAATGGTGGAGGTGCCATTTCCTCTCCAGTGGGTGCTAGTGTGAATGGGAAGGTGGTTTGAATTGTCTCAGAAAGATTCAGGGATGTAAAATGTAGTGCCCCCATAATGAGAACATCAATCCAGTATTGCATCACTGCGGAGATCCGGATCCCCTCGATACAAAAAAATAAGTGTGAATGCCCCCTCACTGACAGGAATGGCACCACTCACTCATGCATCCAATACTCTATAGTCTTCACTAAGCATCATAAATCCTGTGTTAAGCATGTGTACGTCTTTCAGGTTCTATGGAACCAACGAGAATTAAATATTGCAAAAACAATTACAATTTAAGACTAGAGAGAGAGAGAGAGAGAGAGAGAGATTAGCAACAATATAGCACATTAGATATTACATTTGACACACATACACTGTCCCAAAAGTTCCATACATGCAATGAGGTGCCAGTACATGGCATGAGGTTGGACTAGGTGGCCCTTGTGGTCTCTTCCAACTCAATGATTCTATGATTGACTGCAGGCCTCTCTTGTTAGTGCTGCTCAGTCATATTGCAACGTATTGCAATCTAAACATTCTATTTAAAAAAAAAAAAGATGAAAGTGCCATATAGAAAGTGCGATATAGAAATTATACTGCAAAGTATTTACCTTTTTTGTTTCTCTTCTAAATTGTTGTTGCTGTGTGCCCTCCCAAGTTCTTTCTGACCCCAAGGAGAACATCTCAAGGTTCTTCACAAAATTTGTTCAGAGGAGGTTTGCATTTGCCTTCCCCTTCCCTGATAAATACACCGCTGAAAATCCTGTTCCTTATTTAAGGTGAAAAGGCAGTTGCAGGTCCTCTCCAGCACCAGCTCTCCCTGTCTTTCTGAATTCAGCCCCTTCCTTAGGGTTTCCTCACCCACTTGGCCAAACCAGGAGTTACACATTTTTAGATGCACTACTGCTCAGTGCTTGGCAGCTAAGTGTGCAAACAGATGGAAACACATTGCAGTTGAAATGTGTGAAAGGAGACAGAAATGTTCTATTGGAGGCAAAGACATGACAATATCAGAATCATAGCATTAGAAGAGACTCCAAGGGCCATCCAGTCCAACCCCCCTGCCATTCAGGAACTTACAATCCAAGCACCCCCAAGAGATGGCCATCCAGCCCCTGTTTAAAAACTTCCCAAGAAGGAGACTCCACCACCATCCGAAGGTGTTAGTTCCTGCCTGAGTCTTAACATCCTTGGAGATGGCATTTTAATATGGTGCCTTGCTTAATTGTGTTTTACCTCTTTATCATTAAGTTTTTTGCCTTATCTTCTTGCAGCCTTGACATATACCACCTTAGGCCCAGTGTTGAGATATAAATTAAATTAATAATGATACTTATGACACACACACCCCTCCATATACACATGCAAGCCACCAATGGATGGGACAGTGACCAAATCCTCCATGGACCACCCTAACCATACTGTCATCACCTATGGAGAAATCATACCCATATTCTCCTGTAGCTCTTACTAGCATAAGATGGGATGTTCATTAATACTCATTAATTTGGGCTGCATCCACACTGCAGAAATTATCCAGTTTGGTATCACTTTAACTCCATGGCTCAATGCTATGGAATTCTAGTATTAGTAGTTTTGGGAGACATTTGCCTTCTCTGTCAGAGAGCTCTGGTGCTACAAGAAACTAGAATTTCCCAGAATTCATAGCACTGAGCCAAAAGGCTGATAGATATGAAAAAAGACTGTGGTATGTTCATATGTGTATATATATATACACACACACCAAAAAATATGATCAAAATACTGCCTTTTTATTCATTCTGTCCATTCATTCAAATAACTGGATTCTTATTTTTTCTCTTTGTGTTTCCAATTCAATTTCTTCCATCCCAACACCACCCCCAACTTTTCCAAACAGCAATCTCTCAAGATGACTGTAAGGTGCCTGACATGACTGGTAAACTAAATTCTGATAAGGAGGAGACATAAAACCCTCTTTTTTCTGGATGTGATGGTTTGTTTTCCCCCTTTTTGCCACACCCTTATTTTAGATGAATGTCTTTTGATCTGTTCTCATCTTGTCCTGTTTTGAAGATGAACATCCTGTCCTATCCTGAAACATGTCACAATAACAATACCATCAAATTCTTCTGATACTTTGGACCCTTTGTCAGGGATGAGTGCTGAAGGTTATGAGACATGGTAGATAATGGAAGTGAGAATATATTACAATGAGTTAGCAATTCAAGAGTTCCAAAGGAGCCCAATGGAATCATATAATCAACATTTGTTTAATTGCTGGACCACTTATGTAGCAAAGGTCTTCCAACCTCTGACACAACTTGCATCGCATTGGTCTAGCCAACAAATCAAAAATGGTCGGTAATAAAATATCATTTAATAATATAAAGGTTGCCTTTTCCTTAGCAGCTTGTTGCTTTTTCACAGTACTGGAGGGGATGGGCAGTATTTCTTTATTGCCTTGCCCTGTTTTGTTTCCAAAATCAGATGAGATCAGTGTTCAGGTTGATAGGTTGGTCTGATACTAGCAGGGTTCTCTGTCCCCAGGGACTCTTAGAATATGCCAATTTTTATTTAATAGTCCCTGGTGACTTTTGCACCCTGTCCTGCAAATTTAGTCCTGCCTCCACTGTTTGATTGAGGAGATTATCACCTTGCTTTTAAAGTGCCATATCCCCAACAGGATAAAGGTGCATTTAATTTTAAAACCAGGTGTTATCATACTCACTGGTGGCCCAGCGAATGCAACCCATATGCAGTCCAGATCCCAGCCATGCTTATCCAGTGGCTTTTCAAAACAGCAAATCTCATTTTTGAAAAGCCGCTAGAAAAGCACAGCTGGGATCTGGACTGCATACGGGTTGCATTCAGCCAGCCACTGGGGAGTGTGATAACACCCAGTTTTAAATTAAACACACCTTTATCCTATTGGGGATAAGGCACTTTAAAAGCAATGTGATAATCTCCTATGACTCTCAAGATGAGGGTTTGAATCCCCACTTGGCAATGGAAACCTACTGGGTGACCTTGAGCAAGTCACTCTTTGCAAAAGCAAACCCTATCTGAGCAAATCTTGCCAAGAAAACCCCATGATAAGTTCTCCTTAAGGTCACAATAAGCTAGAAATGACTTGAAGGTACACAACAACAACAACCAATCTTGGCATCATGTCTTGTTGTTATTGTTGTTTGTCTTTAAGTCATTTCCAACTTATAGCAACCCTGTTACAAGGTTTTCTTAGCACATTTTTCAGTAGAAAGTTGCCTTTGCTTTGTTCTGTGGCTGAGAGAGTGTGAGTTGCCCAAGAACTGTCGGCCCATAGATGAGTCCCATTAGTCTGATTCCTCATGTTACTTTTTGATATTCAATTTATTTAATATTGTATTTTAATTAGTCTATTGTTTAATCTTGTTTTAAGGGGATGGGAGGGGGGAGGATGGGATTATGGGATGAGGGAATGTTTTAACTTTGTTCTCTTTTAAATACTGCTGTTCCCCACCCCGATTGCCACGCAGAGGGGAGGGCTATAAATAAAAAATTATTATT